TTTATAGGGAAAAACGTATTCATTATTGTATATTATATGAAAAAATACTATGTGATCTGATTGCTTAGGAATATTACTATACAGATATTATAGAAAACTTCATGGAAGAGAAGACATTTGAGGAGAATTATGAACCACTAAGGATTTTTTTCCATGCATGAACTATGCTCTGATGTTTTCCCTTATGACATACAAATTGGGATCTGAAATATGAGTAATATTGTGATGGCCAGAATTTAGAGAAGAAATAGAACTTTCCTATGAGCATAGGAACATTCAAAGAAGGAATTCCAGAAGTGGTGGGTAGGGGTATGCATAGGAGCATATGAATTAAGATTGTAATTATTTCTCACAAACCTACATTTCATTGCAGACTGTATGCTCCATGAATTTAGGGGCTTCATCATTCATCCCTGTATCTCAGAATACCTTGGCTCAGAATAGCCACTGAAATTGTTATTGAAACTACAAGGGAGTTTCAGCCTAGGTCTAGTTGCTTGCCTCACAAAGAGCCAATTATTGAGATAATAAGGATTTCCAAGGAAGAAAGTAATTTTTAATATGAATCACATCTGTCAGGAGAACAGGGACTCAGAATCAGCCTCAAATCCATCTCCCTGACTAATGGAGAGTACAGGCTTTTTAAGAGGGGCTATGTGTATTGGGGCAGGTGGTGGTGTAATTAAAAAGGGGCTGTGTGCGTTTGGGCAGGTTGTGGAGGATGGCAAGTTTTGGTATCAGTAAGTCTGCCAAGGAGCCTTCAGAATCTCAGCTCCTTGTCTTGCAAAAATTCTGCCATTTCTGGGAAACAACTCAGAAAGATCAAGTAATTAATTAAAAGATTCAGGGTTCTGGTCATCATGCTCTACTGGCCTGAGAATCTAAAAGATGGGAGAGGATTTTAAAAAAAAAACAACATATAGAAGTTATTGAAATTTGTTCTTAGAGTCAGTTACAAAATGAAAGAAAGCCCTGTTAGAGATAATTTTCTGGATCCTGACTCTTGCTAAAACCCCAACAAAATCTGGATTCTAGAGAGATTATCTAAAAATATTTATTGCTACTATACTGAATAATTAGGAACAGTTAGAATTAGGCACATGTCTTAGTCTGTTACAGCTGCTGTAACAAAAATACCATATACTGAGTGGCTTAAACAACAAACATTGCTCAAATTCTAGAGGCTGGGGAGTCCAAGATCAAGGTACTGGCAGATTTGGTATTTGGTGAGGGTCCTCTTCCTGGTTCATAGAGGTCAGTCTTCTTGCTATTTCCTCACATGGAAGAAAGGGGTGATAGAACTCTCTGGGGTCTCTTTTATGAGGACATTAACCACAATCATGAGGGCTGTACTCTCATGATTTAATCACTTCAGAAGGACACCATCTCCAAATATCATCACATTGGGGATTAGGTTTCAACAAATGAATTTGCAAGGGTGGTGGTGGGGGGAGTCACAAACATTCAGTCTATAACAGTAAGTGTCTAAGGAAAGCAGAGTGAATAGAAGGCCAGGTATAATAAGAGTAGTAATCTACCATGATCTTCTTGTTCTAGAGTAGAGTTTCTTAATTTTAAAAAATGCTATGACCTCATTTAAACTTAATCATCTCCTTATATTCCTTATTTCCTACAATCACATTAGGGATTAGGACTTCAACATATAAATTTTGATGTTACATAATTCTGTCTATGGCACAGAGGAAACTAACATTATAATAGATTATAAAATATTTTAAAAATGTAATATAATAAAATATGTACTTCTTTATTAACACTATGCATAAGATCTAATGGTCGAGCTAATACCTACCATACTTTAAAAGTAGTGATGAACACAAATATCTCAAGATATGTGCGACAACTGAAATTTGATATAAACCTGTGATTCTTTGGTGACCAAAGCATAGGTACAGTTGATACTCATATGGTTTGATTTAAATTTCTGTTTAAAGTTAGTGGAAGTCAAGATGGAATATTTTCCCTATTCAAATTTGTAGATCCACTCTGTCCTTAGAACCTCAGATTATGGCCCCTTGCTTTAGACAGTTCGCAACTTCTCAGAGGACAAACTGACACAAAAATTAGCAAGTATCCCATTTTTACTGCCCTCTAGATGGCCACACGGCCCTTTATTGAGGAACTCCTGGACATATGGAAGATAAAATTGTTGTTGAAACTGCAAGAGGATTTTAGCCTAGGTCTGCTCGCCCATTGTACAAAGATCCCAATTATTTAGACCAGGTATCCTCAAACTACAGCCCACGGGCCACATGGGGCCCATGGAGTGTTTTTGCTGCTGCTGCCTGTCCTGCTTAGCAGCCAACTTGTCCGGGGCCCACAGTGTGCATGTGTGGAATGTGCGCCACACTCTCCAACGGCCCTCCAATGGTCTGAGGGACAGTGAACTGGCCCCCTGTTTAAAAAGTTTGAGGACCCCTGATTTAGACAATGAGGATTGCCAAGGAAGAAAGGAGTTTTCACTATGACAGACTTCTTGTCCGGTGAACGGGAGAAGCTGCCCCAAATCATGTCTCTTGCTAACAGAGATCATTGTCTTTTAAAGGAGGGGCCACCTCCCTTGAGGCAGCTCATGGTGTATCTTACAAGGGGCTACAGACACTGGGGGGAGTTTGTGGGGGATAGTGAATTTTGGAGTCAGGAAGTCTGCCCTGGGGCCTTCAGAATCTCAGATCCTTTGTCTTGCAGACAATCCACCATTTCTTCTAACAACTCAAAAAGTCAAGTAGTTAGTTAATGGAGAGAATTATGTAGGGTTCATTGAAATTTGTTCAATGGGGGGCCAGTAACATAATGAATCTAAAACTTAATTCTTTCATATTCCTTTCCATGATACATAAAAACTAGACTTGAACCAGATATTGTGCTGTTTGGTTTAAATATAGTCCTAAATGCCTGCCCTGGAGTAACTTTATGAAAATTTCTGATAAAGATCTTCCTAAACCTTTTGGTAGAGGCTTGAGTAGGAAATCACTTTTAGGGCTGATTTATTCATACCCCGAAAAGAACGAATCCAATGTCTTTTTATCATTTTAGCTTGAAAAGAGCTGCATGTGCCTACTGTAGAGGAAAGAAATGTTACCCCTTCACACATCAAAAGTGGGTTCCACTCCCTGACTCTAGAACACTACTAGGTTAGCAGGAAACATTTCATTTGTTGATCTACAGTATTCCATATAATTTTAGCCCTTTTTGATATTTTTCTTCCTGAAGACCAAGGTTTTAAACATGCTCCCTCTTCTATCACTTCATTAATAATCTATGAGCATTTGGGAAAATGGTAGCATAGACTGAAAAGCAGGGAGTGACAAAAAGGTAAATGAGTTATTTTCTATTATGTCTTTGGGACATCAAAAATACTGGTTTTGTTAAAAAAAATTGGGTTTATCACTGACTTTCTAGATTCAGAAATATTAGGTAAAATAGAATTTTCCCAAACCAAATTATCTTATCCAATTACTTTCTGGTATCTTTAGTAATAATGATAACCATTGGATACATAAACAAGTCAATGCAAATTCCTAGATCTGCAAAGTTTTCTATCTGTCTTTAACATAAACAGTATAAGTAACTCAATTTTTCTGGATTTGAGAGTCTCTTTTGGTATGAGGCAACTCTGCTTTCTTCAAAAGTCACTTTCATTACTTGTTTCCAACAAAACAGGTAAAGAAAAGAAAAAAAAAAGATTTGAAGCCCAAATTGGCCTGCTTTTCTACTCGTTATAATAAAAATGATTGAAGGACTAGTGATTGCAAGTATTGAACAAAATGAGACTTGGAGATTATCTGTGGATTTTAATCAGGTGTCCTACCCAGAACTCTTAATATTGAAGAGATGGCAATGGATATATGGAGAAATAATAAGCATTCTTTGTTATTCTGTCCACTCTGTATAGTCTCCCTTATATGCTAAAATATCCATCTATAGTCTCTATGGCAGCCGTAAATTATCTATCAAATGCTAGAATTACATAAAATAGTACATGTTCTTTACTTTTTTACAAAATATATTATTAACATTGCTAAGCAGAATACCTTTGAGTAGAATTAAAGCACAGTATAATTATAAGAAGTGGTAAGTAACCTCATTAAGAATGTGGTGTAAAGAAAAGACAGTGTTATTCATAAAACTCAAATGGAGAAAAGGAATTGATATGTTTAGAATAACGTTACTTGGAAATAGTCAATATATTTTTACAGCATAAAAGTCAGGCAAATGTAGATGGCAAGGTGAGAAAATATGGGGTTTTGTATTCTCAGACAAAAACTCAGGCAATCAATACCTATGACCCAAATATTAATTGACAGTGTGTTGAGCAAAATAATCATAAATACTAAAAAAAAGAGCAATATGGAGAAAATTTATGGGTTCTGGAATACCTGGAACCTTTCAAGGGAAACAGTTGTTTCAGCCTGTGATCTGCTAATTCATTTTCAGAAACACAGCCAGAGTTTAAACAAATGCCTAAATTTCTTTCCACCTTTATAAGAAAGAAGCAAAAGTGGAAACAATAAACACAAAGAAAGGAATTTTTTCCAGGAAGAAAATTCTATAGCCACTTTTAGAAAGAGTACCTATTTAGTCTTAATTAAGACCACCTACTATTTGAGGCTCTGGATTACGGTTTTATCCTAAATTGAGACCACATACTATTTGAGTGTCTGGATTAGGGTTTTTCTTGTTATTATTATCAAATTTCCACTTCTACAGTAATGTATTTGAAAGTAAAATGCAATTATTTTTATCAAATTAAAAAAAATGGTGGAAATATGGATGTTTGTTAGTTTCCTTTTTGGATCTTTCTATTTTTTTAATTTGTCAAACAATATAAACAGTAAATGATATTTTAAAAATATCTATGGTCTTTCATATTATATTGTAGTTAGCCATAACTTTTGAGGCTCTAAGGCTTAACTAAGAGAATTGCTTTTGGGTTTTATTTGTCTTGTTGATGTTATTTTCCTGTTTTCTTTTGACAGCGATAATGTACGTAACAGTGGATGTGGTACTCTTTGGGGCTGTTCCCATGCCCCAGAGGCCTTAAGAACCTGTGAGTACCTAAACGAAAGTTCTTATTTGTTTTAATGTCTGACTTTTATGTGCAGGGCATAATCTGAAATGAAATATTCAACAGGGGGTGGTTACCATGATTAAATGGCAAGTCCTGGAGGATTACTGGCTGGATGAGAGGCTGAATTATGGGTCCTCTACCTTTTCTGTTGATAACCTTTTGGAGGACTCTTCCTGCATCTCTCATGTCACTTCTGAGTCTAGTTCTTTCCAAAGTACGAAACATTTATTTAGATATATGACCTTTATGTCTCTTTGGGCTTATTCTAAACTGTGTAAACATATTTAGGGGACAGATATCACCAAATTTAGAAAATGATAGATTTACTTTGTTGTATAAAATAGCTGCAGGTCAAGAAAGATGAGTAGAGTAATGGGTAGAAAAATGGATATAAGAATGTTCTGCTTATCCATAGCTGCAGAACAAACCACACCAAATATACTGGCATAAAACAACAAAAATCAATAATGATGCTTATCTCTCATACCTCTGGGATGACTGGGCTCAGCTGAGTGACTCTAGCTCAAAGGTTAGTTAGAAGCTGGGCCTTGAGTCAATCTTGAGGCTTCCTCACTCACATGTCTGATGGTTAGTGCTGCCTTTTGCCTGGGACTTCAGCTGGGGCTGTTGGCCTAGAAACTTACCCATGGCCTCTCTGTGTGGCTCAGGTTCTGGGGTTGCAGTAAGTTTTAAAGAAGAGTGAGCCAAGAAAGAGAGCTAACTGGCAGAAGTTACATTACAGTTTCTGATCTAGTGTCAGAAACCACACTGTTTCACTTCTGATGCATTCTAGCATACTCTTTGTTAGGATCTAATAAGCACCATGTTATCACATTTAAGGCATTACCAAAGAATTTGTGGGCATGTTTTTTTAAACTACAAAATATCTATATATTTATATATTTACATAGAGAATCATTCCTTTATTTCCAGTTGAAATTTTTCATTATACCTTGTGAAACATTACATAGTCCACAACAATTTGAAGATTTTTGGAGGATCACCTTGCTACATATATCAACATTAATTTTAAATAGTAGTGAAATTCCATTTGTAATGAAATTATTTATTAAGAAATCTTTAATGATGCATTTTGTTATATCAAGCTAGAGCTGGGATCACTGTACTCTCATTAACAAATGTATATATCATCTTCTAATCTTGAATGCTAATGATTTGAACATTTTATATTGATCCCAAAACTTTAATCAGTTATTGAGACAACTGCTTTATTTGAACAGCACTTATAAAATTATATGTCAACAAGCTCTGTGTCATGTTTTGCTAGCAATTAAGTCCGATTTCATCAGAGAGTTCTTCTGCTCCATATCTACTGTTTACCTGGAAGGGAAAGGAACTTCAAGCCTGGAGCTATTCTTTCTTCCCTTTAACATCCATGTGCGCTACTGTGCCATCATCTTGAGCAACAAAAAGGTAAGAACAGAATTATGGTCTGTTTGTTCATTATGAGCCGCCACTTCAATGGAGTAACGAGTACCAGGTGACTTGAAGGCAGCTAGAGCCTCTAGAAATATAGATAATTTCAGCCAAAGTTGCTAAGCAAAGATCTTATTCTTTAGAATATCCAGAGCTACACAAGTTGCGGGTACATTTTATAATGGCTGAGTAGGGAAGTCCCATAGGAGCAGAGTGTAGACAAATTTAACCTGCTCTGGCTCTATTTGTGTTAGTTGTCTATAGCTGTGTAACAAATTACCACACACTGAGTATGTATTAGTTCATCTTGCACTGCTATAAAGAAATGCCTGAGGCTGGGTAATTTATAAAGAAAAGTTTATTTGGCTAACAGTTCTGCAGACTGTATAAGAACCATGGCACTGGCATCTGCTTCTGGTGAGGGCCTCAAGGAGCTTCCAATCAAAGTGGAAGGTGAAGGAGGAGCAGGCATGTCACATGGCGAGAGAGGAAGCAAGAGAGAGAAGAGGTGGTGCCAGACTCTTAAACAACCAGCTCTTATGAACTAATGATCTGACTCATTATCGTGAGGAGGGCACCACGCCATTCATGAGAGATCTGCCCCCATGACCCAGACAGCTCCCAGCAGGACCATATTCAACAATGGGGATGAAATTTCAGCATGAGATTTCGAGGGGACAAATATCCAAAGCATATTAGAATGGTTTAAAATAATACATGTTTATCATCTCATATAATAATTTTTGTGTTAGAGGTCTAAGCATGATCTAGATAGTTCTCTGCTTAGGGTCTATCAAGTATTCATTTAAAGAATCAGCCAGAACTGGGTTCTCCTCAGAGGCTCAACTGAGGAAGATTATGTGCTTCCAAACTCCTTCAAGTTGTCGTTGGAAGAATTTATATCTTTGTGGCTATGATGTCCATGCAGCTTGCATCTTCAAAACCAGCAAAAAAGAGACATGAGGGGCAGAGAGGCAGACAAATAAGAGAGAGAGAGACTACAGAGAGAAGGTCTTATAGCATTACCCCTTCCAGAAATACACTGCCATGAGGAGGGAATTTATAATTCCCAGGATATAGCCCTGAATGTATCAGTTATGTGTACTCTAAATTGAGTAAATATGCAATGAATTAACGGTAATTAGAAAGAGATGTTGCCTTTATCTGGTGTCTATAGAATCATTTATGTGTTAAAAATAGTATAGACTATTACATATGTAAAATATAGTTTAATTTTATACTTATAATTATCACTTAGGAGTAAATAAAAGCCTTGTTATAGTAATGCTAAATGTCGTTTTTTTTATCTCCTTTAAAGGAGTTCAATATTTAACTAAATTCCTTTCTACATAAAATTTGTGAGAAATAGTAACTGTAATGTGACCAGTAGTTTCTTTTGTTTTTGTTTTTTGAGAGAGGGTCTTGCTCTGTCTCATGGACTAGAGTGCAATGGCATGATCATAGCTCACTGCAACCTCAAACTCCTAGGCTCCAGTGATCCTCCTGCCTCAGCCTCCCAAGTAGCTGGGACTACAGGTGTGAGCCACCATGCCCAGTTAATTTTCTTATTTTTGGTAGGGACAGGGTCTCACTCTTGCTCAAGTGGTCTTGAACTCCTGGCTTCAAGTGGTCCCTCCTGCCTTGGCCCCACAAAGTGCTAGGATTACAAGCATGAGCCACCTCGTCCTGCCTGACTAGTACTTTGATCAAATGCTTCACAATCCCTTTTATATATCAATTTATAAAATAACCTTAGAAAATACTAGAGTTAATTCTAAATAGCACAGTAACAAGGTTGATTTTATTGTTTGAATTAGTCTATTGGAATATTAATGTTTGCTTAGATAAATTTAATATAATTAATCAAAATATAATTATACTTAACTTGACATCTCAATTTATTGCAACATGACTTTTAATTACACATATTTTGTCCTTGTCAGAGAAAACATTAGGAAAAAACAACAATCTTGAAATATATCGCTGTCAATGGAGAAATAATGCCCTCAACCTAAAGGACTGCATTAGATTATAATTACTTATGTGGGAAAACGCGTCTATTAATTTACACATTCAATTATATTACTGATTAGATTGAAAAATACAATTACACGCTTAAATAGATGATCAAACATCCAAGCCCACCTAGTTAGCTCCTGTTCGTATTAAATGTAGGATAACTGTTTTGCCATTAAGAACCACCTGTTTAAAACTGTAAAGTAATTAGGCCTCTATTTGGTAGCTTTCCAGGTATAAAATAAAAACTTTTCTACTAACAGTGCTATCAAAAGGCTATTTCTTTCATTGTGGCTGTTTGATTTGAACTTTCAAATACAAAATGAAAAGATTTATGTAACAACTGTTTTATAAGTAAGAAACAGTTTTACAAGTCTTCCAACAATATTCATAGAAATTCTTAGCTTAGGGGAAACCCTATGAAAGCCCCCAAAACTGATGTTATCAAATGCCAGAAATTTAAAGAAATTTCTGCTATAATACGGAATGGGGCGGATTAAACGGAAAAACCCCAAGCAGAATCAGGACCCAATCCCTGAGGAATTGGACCTTTTGGGAGGAAGAATTGACAGATCCCTTTACAAAGCACGGAAACACTGGAAAACACACAACAATGCAATTATACAACCCTGGGGCTCTGTCTTCACTGTGGTACCCAGCAAGTGAACATCTGCTCTGTATAATCACCCAGCATTGCTGAGCTGATCTATATGCGGGAAGCAGGGGCATCAAGCAGGGATCCTTGACCTGGGGGCTGAGTAAAGAGTGGGTTCCAGTTGCAGTCACTTGCTGTAGCATAACCAGCCCTTGTCCACCAACCCTTGAGCTTTTTTATTGACTCAACCCAGAGCCTTCTTTCCCCCTGGTAGATCTATCTTCCAGGCCTGTGTTGTCCTCATCTGTGTACACACCTGTGTCACAACAAATTGAGACCAAAGTCTCGGTACGGCTGAGTTGAGGAAGCAGGGATGGAAGTCAACATCTCTGCGCTGCTTAAGAAAAACTGGTCCAGCCCCACACCGGAACTCCACATAACAAAGTGAGGTTCAGCCTTGCCAAGTCAAGCTGAAAGTGCCCACTCCCACAAAGAGGACCCTGCAGGGACTTGCTGGTTAATGGTCTAGAACCAGCGGTTCCCAACCTTTTTGGCACCAGGGACTATTTTCTTGGGAGACAATTTTTTCCATGGATCAGAGTTGGAGGGAAGTGGATGGTTTCAGGATGATTCAAGCTCACTTTATTTATTGTGTACTTTATGTCTATTATTATTATTAATTACATTGTAATATATAATGAAATAATTATACAACTCACCATTGGGGACCCCTGGTCTAGAACAACTTAGCCTAAGGCTACTCCATAGTGGTTGTTAAATATATTGAATTTCACTCTGGCCATCTCACAAATATTTTCATAAATAAATAGGGCCACTTGTGTGACTCTTTGCACGATGAGTCATTTTATTCTCAGTCTTTTGTGTCTTCCTGTGTTTGTTAATGCAGAGATTAAGCTGGCAGTCTCTGTTATGTACATTTTCAAATATTCTACAGCAAATGTGTAACTTTATTATAAATAATGTGCAGAATTTAGCAATACTGATTTTTGCTTGTTTATTGAATGTGAAGGTAAAGCATTAAATTATATTGTGCTAAAATATTTATGCAATTTTATATTTAGGCAAACTAACTTGAGTTTTATGAAAGATAACATCATAGCTTGAGTGACTAAGTATTATTTGAGGATGGTTTCTTTTTATTTTCCATGATTTTTATTTTTATTTATTTTTATTTTATTTTATTTATTTTTTTTTTGAGACAGAGTCTCGCTTTGTTGTCCAGGCTAAAGTGAGTGCCATGGCATCAGCCTAGCTCACAGCAACCTCAAGCAATCCTACTGCCTCAGCCTCCCGAGTAGCTGGGACTACAGGCATGTGCCACCATGCCTGGCTAGTTTTCTCTACATATATTAGTTGGCCAATTGATTTCTTTCTATTTATAGCAGAGATGGGGTCTAGCTCTTGCTCAGGCTGGTTTCGAACTCCTGACCTCAAGCAATCCACCCATCTTGGCCTCCCAGAGTGCTAGGATTATAGGCATGATGAGCCACCACGCCTGGCCTATTTTCCATGATTTTTAATGTCAAGGCACATTTCATTTGCTCTTTGACTTTTTTAAATTCAATTTGTCACAACTGCTTTTTTGGGGTAGGGATAACTACACTCCTCCCTACAGGCCACACCCTTGAGTTCCTGGGGAAAATAGAGAGAAGATGAAATCCCATCTGGCCTATGAATACTTTGAAATATTTATTTATCACATAATGGCCGCTAGCAATATGGAGGCAGGTTACTTGAACCTCAAAGTCTCTGTCAATATAACAAATAGTCACAAAGTCAGCCCCCTTATCCACACTGAAAGGCCTTTTCCCACTTCAGCCACTCTCTTTTCACCTATTAACTGTAAAAGCCTCATCCTACAATAAGTATCACAGTCTTTTTCAAGGAAAACATGAAAAGAAAATCTGAAAATGAGAAATTCATACCTGATTGGTAGTTATTTTTTCTTGGGGGTCCCTTCTGGGTTCCTTATCAATGGTACAGTTAGTCTGTAAACATTTCACATGTCTGGTTTACCAACATTTTAGCTCCTGGGAATACCACCTCAAATGGAATATAGCAGATAAGGGAACAGTCATTCCTATTTTCCTAAATATTATTTTTGTGGACCATCTCATTCTTGAAGGATGGTATAGATTATGGAGAATGACTATAGCAAATTTTAAAGTTGTCCAACTTCAAGATGGATTTCAATAATTTCATTTTATAATAATATTCTGTTCATTACTGTTCACACAGTTTAATTCACCAACACTATAAAGCCAATCTTGGCAAGGTGAGCAAACACACAGAAAGAGAATGATCCCTGCACTTAATGGAATCATATTCCAGCGAAGAAGCTAACTTGCATGGGGCTGGCCCAGCC